TGAACCCAGGGTGAGTGCAGCCCGCACCTCGAGTACCTACAGGCGAGTCCCATCTGCTGGGTGTCGGGAGCCAATGTGAAGCATGTTTGGTCTCCGGTTCCCGGTGTCCTCTGCCTGTCTCAGCCTGCTATCGCGGCTCCTGGGCTTCCCTTGTGCTCCGAGACCAGCTGGAGCTGGAGGGGAGCAGTTCCTCGCTGCTGCTGCGTCCTGCAGACCCCACGGGGTGCAGTGTCCCATGGGACACTCGGTCTTACTGGGCCGTGCCCTCAGCCAGCTTTTGGGGGACAGGGTGGGAGCCCCGTCGGTCTGCAGGATATTGCCCGAGCGACGACCTGGGTGGTTGTCCGGGCACTTCAAGGTACAGCCATGGCAAACAGGGCCTTGGGTTTATTCCTTGGAAACCCTTTCAGCTGCCAAAAGGGGCGAGCTCAGCCCTACCTCTTCGTTCTGCCGGTATCGTCTCTGCCCCGAGGAAGGGGCGTGCTTCCAGCACGGCGCTGGGGCCTCGTGGCCCTTGTCCCACGCGGTGTTTGGCTGGAAGATGTCCTGAAAAAGGCGGCGGCAGGAAGAGAGCCGCTGGCTCCCGGGAGGCTCCTGGTATCGGTCCCTTGGCGGAGGCCGCAGCGGGGCTGTGCGTCCCCTCCTGGGCGGGTGGGTCGCTGCCAGCGTCCGTCTGCGGGTACTCGCTGCTCTGCAACGAACCCCGGCGTCCCCTCCCAGCCTGCCCAGTGACCTTTTCACACACGTGTTGCTGCTGTCTTGAGGTCCTGTTCCCCTGGAGCCCCATGGTATGGGGCAGGAAAGTAGGACATGAATGATGCTCTGAGCAGAGCGCTTGCAAGAACTGAAGTGGTTTATGCTTTTTATTAAGAAGGTATGTTTTGTTTGGGTATTTTGTTTTGTTTTTTTTCCTTTGAGTGGCTGCTGGTAGGCTTTGGCTCTGGCTGTAGTCCCAGGGCAAAGGAATACATTCTTATATTTAATGGGAAGAGCTGGTTTTGCACGCTGGTTGAGATGGAGAAATCCTGTGGACTTCAATGTGAGCAGCTGTTGTGGTTTAGTTTTTACAGGTATCATCTTGTTTGTGGGAGGAAAAAAAAAACCTCACGCTTTTCCTCCCAGTCTGAAGATTACTTAGTTTGTTCCTGCAAACCACTTCCCAGGTGTCAGCGATGAGAATAAACCTGCCCTGCGTAAACTGGTTCTCTTGTGTCAGCTCTGTTTTGTCTCCTTTCCTGTGATAAGGGCTGAAGCGATCCTCCGGCTGCGGTGGCATGCCCGAGAATCACCCAGCGCTGCCCAGGGCGTCCCCCCCCCGCGGGGAGAGCTTGGTGGGGGCGAGACCCCATCCTGCAAGGCCTTTCTCTTCCTCTTCCAAACCCCTACGCCTGCCTGGCTGCGTTGAGCCGTCCGGGCACTGAGCTTGTGCCATTCACCCAGCAGCTCTAACAGCTCAGCTGCCCGAAGGCTGACCAGGGTTAGACCGGTAAAGCTGGTAACGGCCGATGCCATCAGCAACGCTTAACCTGCCGCCTGTGTGCTACACGAATGCTTTTCTGCTGCTGTCGCCGTTCAGAGGCTGCTGCCGTGCTTTCGCCAGCTCAGTGATTGCGTTACAGAGCCTGTTATTTTAGCTGGCAGGTCTGTATTTTTAGGCCACAGCTGTTAATCGTGGGAGTGAGGGGTACAGGGAAATGCAACCTGAGTTCTCCTGACCTTACTCCAGGGCCGACAGCGATGGACTGCTGCGGAGTTAAAGGCTCTCTTCTCTCTCTCGTGCAGACCTTAAAGCGAACCCGTGCTGCCGGGGCCTCCCCTGCTTCGAGCTGCCCTCTATAGAGAGCGCTTCAGCCTCCTGCCCACCCCGGCTGCTCCCTGGGCTCCCTGTCACCTCAGTACCGACCCAGGGGAACTGCTCTTCGTCCCAAAGCAGCAGGGTCCCGAGCAGCATCGGAGCCCCTGGGGGAAAAAACCAGAATGCTGTCCTCTGGCAGAAGAGGACGCAGGAATCTTGTGGATCTACTCGCTTTGATGTACAGAGGAAGCCCCAACAGAGAGGGAGGAGGTAGCCTGGCTTCCCAGGGAGTTCAGTCTAAACTAAGTGCAGGAAAACAGAACCTCCCTTCAGTTCAGCCAGCTGTCAGGCTGTGCCTGGGTACAGCAGATGCAGCTGGTGAGATAAAACCACTATCCCTACCCCTCACTTCTAAATAACTGCGGGGAGCTTCTGCCAAGAAAGGTTCTGTATTGTTCCGATGAGTGAGTGGGAAGAGCAAGATTTGGGTGGATGCTTTTACAGTAATAGCTTAACTATTTTGAGTAGGAAGAAACAATAAGGCAGAGTTAAGATGTCACTGTATCAAATTTAAAAATTAAATAATCTTTTAATAAGAAACTTACTAGTTTGACCAAAATAACTTGCGTTAGCTAGCAGCATCGCAGAGACATGTCTCAAGGTTTGAGGAAGAACTCAGTTTCAAATTCAGGAACCGTCTAAAATGAAGGCTTTTCCCGAGCACGGCAGCTGAGCTTCCCTTTCAGGGCAAGCACCAGATCCAGCTTCTCTGCACCTGGGCCTCCTTCACTGGCAGGGACAACCACGGTAAGGGGTATGGCGCCGTCACAAAAAAGAAACGTCAGCTTAGAAGGGAACTTAAACTTCTACGCTGTGGAAAGCCAGGGCCTGAGAAGGGGTAAGCAGCCCTGGTGTCTGTCCTAGCGGCTACGATCCAGCTCTTCCTCATGTACAAAGGCTTTGTACAACTACCAGCACGGTGGGAGCTGCGGGTGGGATAGATCCAGTGCCATTTTCTCTGCAGATTCAGTTTCCAAATGCTCCCTTGAAATGTTTAGACTATCCCAGTCTGCTCAGCAGAAGAGCAGCTGAAGACAGGCTGACACCAGTAGTGGAGCCACCTTTCAAAGCTGGTTGAACCCTTGCTGCCCGGGCATGTAATGCACGCGTGAGGATGGTATCTCTTGCCAGGAGCAGCCTGCCACCAGCCCTTCCAGAAAGCACTCAACAGACTCGTTTCTAGACTCCAGTTCCTTTCAGCAGCAGTTGCTCCTGTAGCAGCTCACAACCGTCGACCTTTCAGGCTCTCAAGAGATGTCCGGCCAGGCTCAGTGGTTCTGAGGGCAGGTTTTCCTAGTGTGGCCAGGCTGGTGGCAAATGCTACAGGTCCGTGGTTTCTTGGCAGTGGCTCCTGGGGAGAGACTGCTTGGTCTCTTGGCTTTACTTCCAAACCCTCTTGAGTAACCACTGGTCCCAAAGTGGTTCAAAGAGACATCTCCAGAAGGCCCTAGAGAGAAACAACTTGCATTTAAATATCTTTGAAAATGTAAGTAGGTGAGAAACAGAAGATAAGTTCAAAATGGCAGATCAAGGATTTTACTATCCTAGCCTCTCAGATTATTCCTGAAACTACACTTGCTTCACATTTGTCTAAACAGTTAAGTGTTACCTAGTTGTCTTGCAGCATTAGAGAAATGCGGGAACAGAACCGGGGAAACCGATCTGCCTGGTTGCAAGCTCTGGTCTACAGCTGAAGCAGAAACAACAAAACGTGCCAGAGGAAAACTTGTTTTTTTAAATAGTTTTGAAAACTTGATTCTACCCCTTTAGGCCCAAACGTCTAAGGAGGAGGAGGCGGCGGCGGCCAGTGTTGAAGATCTCTCTCTGACCACATCTCCACCTCTGTACTTTGCTTACTGTCCCTTTGTGGTAGTGCTCTTTCTTTCGCATCCTTATTTTGTGATTTTATTGGTTTTTTATGGGTACTTGTTCTCAGCATTTTTCCACAGCAGCCACACTCAGTTTCTCAGCTCTGATCAAAGCTTCAGACTTGGCCTTTCACTGCGTTCCTAAACTAGGGTAGAGGGAGTAGCAGGTTTCCCTGGCGTGACAAAATGGGGTTTGGTGCCGCTGCTTCGACTCTGTACCAAGTCGGTAACAGCTCTCACAAAGCTGAGCACCGTAATTTGGGAGGACAAATTCCCGAAGAGACTGTTTGAAAGAGTGCTGGGCTTTATCCAATGAGTCACGGACAGACGCTCAAGCTTACTGCACGTAGAAGCAAAGCATCCTGCTCGGAGCTCAGCAAATGCGTGCTACGAGGACATATCCTGCTGGCACTTGGGAAGGTAAGCCAGACTCGGTCGTTACATTTGAAGTGCTATAACGCTGCTGACAGATGTTCTAAAGACAAACCTGAAGTCTGTTAAAATTTTGAGTTGCTACAAGAGCTGTCACGCTGTGGTAGCATTACGCGTGTGTAAGAAGCGTGTTCAGTTTAGCTTCAAGAACAGCCTCCAACCCTTGTGTCTCACCCCAAGCCCAGCCTTACCTGGTGCCACGTTTTCATCTGCCCACTGGAAGAAGCCGCACTGCTGCTCTCGGGGTTTAGAGCAGGTGTGGAACTGCCGCCCTTTGTTGGGCCCGTCCTTTTGGACGGTGCGCGTGACGGCTGGCTGATCGCACTTGCAGACTGTGCCGCCTCCTGAATCGGAGCTGTTGCTTCCTAAGAGCTCTGGGCCTCTCCCTCCTCCTGGGCGCTGAAATCCTGCCGGGCCCCTTCCTGCAAAGGGCTGGGGCAGCGCAGGGCCCCGCGGAGCCCCGTTGCTTCTGTCCTCTGACTGCTGATCGGCCCAGAGAAAAAAGTTGCAGGTGCTGGCGCTGCATTTGTAAAACTGCCTGCCTTGATTGGGCCCTTCTTTGCGCACCGTTAGCAGCAGGGCTTCATTCCCGCAGTTGCACACCACCGTGTTGTTCCCATCATCTGGAGCAGCTGGAGGCGCGGGCCTGGGGGCTCTCGTTGAGCTCAAGGAGAGTACATGTCCCGGTGCCGGGTTTGTGGTCCCCCTCGCGTGCCTGTTTTCACCACTAGCTCTGTTAAAGGAGTTGCTGACCTGCAAGTGATTAGCTTGCTGGCTGGCTGACGATGCGGGTTGGGACGACCTGTGTAAATACT